AATGAAGAAGTTTCCAATAGAACTGGGATGTTTAATGCAATGCCAAAGCAGAATGCACAAAAAATAACGAAGTGGGCAAATCGTCAAAAGTATTGATTCAAAAGCATAATGCCTTCAATAAGATAAATGGATCAATTTCCAGTTTTAATTATGTTCATAATATAGCCTGGTTGAAACTGATTTGGGCAGATTTCATTCACAATTTCTTCATTCTAGTAACCATCAAAATAAATTGGAAATCGGATGCATAAATACATTTTTGCCATTCTATGCTATTTATTACCACGTCATTTTTGGTTTAGCTAAAAATTAGATTTTTAATAGATTTTAACAAAAATTGATTAAATATGTAGTTGAAAAGTTGACAAAAGTCGTGGATTCCATAAAATGTATGTATTGAAAATAATTTGGTGGAAAAATGAGTTGACTACATATATAAAAATATCTTTAACTATTACAAGAGAACATTTGGTTTCACCATAGCTATTCTAACATGTTCTATCGGGATCTCATCATTGTGAGAGAACGAATAACTTCATAGATATTGGAGTCTCTTGCATGTGAACTTTTATTCATAAAAGTTGGGCTCAGATAGCTTGGACCGAAGTTGATCTTCGACAAAGGAACCAATTAAGTTGATTCATACGCGCACGCATAAAGTACATCAAATTCTGATGTTTTCTTATGTCCAATCCAACACAAAAGTGTGCATCGAATTCTGATGTTTTATTTAATCATGCTGTACCATCAATGGATTCAAAGTGAGGATTACTATAAATTCAAGACAAGTACCTTATGAACTTACTCAGGTTACTACTGTACCTCCATATTCATCAGCAGTTATTTCTTAGTGAATACTCAGTTTAGCTTACTAATCACACTCTCCATCATCAAAGCCATCTCAGAGATTGAGATGTGGTGATCAAAACTAGGAGAAATGATGAGGAATCTATCAAGAGAGACCACGTTCACTCAATTTCACAAGGCTAGACCTTTCTTTGGTGTTGTTTACATACAATTTGGTCTTGCAGGATTGAATATCCTCTTTAAAGCTGCATTAAATGAAGGGACGAGCAATTATGTGTTCATAGTCTACCGCCATGCCATAGCTGCCATTGTAATTTTTTCCCCTTTTGCTCTCTCTCTCTCTCTCGCCCCAGATATGCATAAGGTGAACGAAGCAGCCAATAATTTGTTCCACAGGAAGAAAAGGCCCAAGACCAAAACCTGTACTTCCTGGGGTTGAAATACACAACGGCAAAACTTGCAGCATCTATGTGCAACATTCTTCCTGCTGTTACATTCCTCATGGCCTGCTTACTAAGGTGCATATCGTAAAGCTTCTAGTTTGTTTAGTACATAGTACTGAGCTGTACGACACAGTACAAATGACAAGATTTTAACTTTTTTTTCTTTCAGTATCTTCTCCAATACTGTCCAATCTCGTATAACAAAACATCTATACTACAGTTGAATATTTTTGTTATAGGCTCGAGAAATTTGAGATAAACAGCATCCACAGCCAAGCCAAGGTAGCTGGCACTGTTGGCACAGTGGCTGGAGCCATGCTTGTGACCCTATTAAGAGGTAGAGTTATAGAGCTGCCATGGACAAAAGAAAGCAGCAGCAACCATGGACGCCAAAGAGTTGAAATAAATATTCAGAATTCATTCGAAGGTTCCCTAATGATCACAATTGGATGTTTCTGCTGCGCTTCCTTCACAATTTTGCAGGTGATAAAACATACAGACAATCATACATTAATAAACATGAAGAACTTTTAACTTTTTAACTAGATTTTATGTTAGATAATTAATTTTCCTTTGTTTCAAAGTGATCGTTGAACTTTGTTACGATTTGGTTACTTCGTACATTTCTGTTAGTTTGACTAGCAAATGCGACTTGGCAGCCTATTCACTTATCAATTAGCTATCAAGTGCCAACTAGTGAATTAGGACAGAATGATCAAATCATAAAGAACTTAAAAGTTCAATAACTAACTTGGAACAAAATACAATTTTGCAAAAATTTCAACAATTAATTGTATTTTTAACGCATCAAACATGCAATGAAGGATAATTAACTGTTACTTGTGTCTTATAGGCGATCACACTAAAAACGTATCCTGCTGAACTCTCTCTCACTGCTTGGATATGCCTGTTCGGAACAGCTGGGGGAACGATGGTGGCACTAGTAATGGAGAAGGGAAAAGCTGCAGTCTGGTCTATAAACTGGGACACTAAATTTCTTGCAGTTTACAGTGTAAGAGCAACATATTAAAAGGGGGAATTTACTTCAAATTATTTTGGATAGTGAAATGAGACTTTGAACTCGACCAATTTGTTGGATACACAAGATAATAATACTGATGAGATCTAATTGGACCCGACTAGATCCTTGTCCCTGAACCTCCGGCCCCTCAGCTGCTCAGGGAGGTAAATCGCAGGATGTGCCCTTGTTGGCTCCCACAACTCATTTGGACTCCTTCCGCAAAGAGAGCTCTCCTCACTGGGCGTTTGTTCACACCAATGGCTTCCTCTCCATATGGCTCCCAGTGTTAACTCCAGGAATCGAACTCTCCACCCTTACTTCCAGCGTCCCAGCGAAGTGATGGGAGGAATTTACTTCAAATTATTTTGGATAGTGAAATGAGACTTTGAACTCGACCAATTTGTTGGATACACAAGATAATAATACTGATGAGATCTAATTGGACTATAATGATGTCTGGCATACTGGAATAGATAGTACTTGATGAATAACTCAAAGTTTGTCATATATCTCTTTTAGTTATGTCTAATCAAGTCCAGTTCAGCATACCAAACATGCTAAAGGGTCAAGGGCAATCAAATAATCCTTAAATCGACTATCAACTTTCCCAAGACTCCAAATATTTTAAGTCGTAAAATGGATGACTTGTACATAAATGGAATCATTATGACAGAGAACAGCTTACTAGAAAATATTGCAGGGAAAAGTTTCTTCAGGACTTGCTTACTACATCCAAGAAATTGTATTGAAAGACAAAGGCCCTGTTTTTGTAACTGCTTTCGGCCCATTTAGCTTGGTTATTGTTGCTGTCCTCAGCTCTTTTATTTTGGCCGAGCAAGTGTACTTAGGAAGGTGAGTGTATAAAGCTCCTCCTGAGCCTTATTTATATGCTTATGATTTGCTTGGTAGGTTAGTACCCGACAATATTAAAAAATAAAAAAGAAGCGCAATTCTTCTTTATCGCGTTGTCCATTTGAGTACTGCAATATGAAGCTACTATTATTTCTGTACAGGGTTGTTGGAGCCATTGTAATAGTTATCGGCCTTTTCCTTCTTATCTGGGGCAAGAAAAATAACAAGTCCTCCCCACCGGTTGAAGACGAAGCAATACCAGTCAAGAAAATGATAGAAATTGACAACAAAGGCAGTGAACACTCGAATGGTGAAGTCCTTAACGTCAATATAGTCGTAAACAAAAAGGAATAATTGCATAAACATGATCAACTCTCGACAACGCTGATTGCAGTCATGGAGTCATACTATAAAGTGAAAGGTAAAACTTGAAAAAACAGCAATGGGTCCAAATGAAAATGGAGGTATAGTCGTTTCTTTGCCCAAACAAAAGAACATCGCCATTCATTTTGTTACCTTTCCCCAAATTTGGAGTTCAGAAGTTAATATAGTCTTGCAAACAAAACAAGGAAGTAAGTGTTATTTGCCTTTAGGCTCCCCGAGGAAGGGGCAACCTGTAGTATGTGCAAGTAATTTCAGAAGCCAAACAACATCCAACTCCGTAATCAGTTAAGGTCTGATCCTTCTTCTTCACTATCATTTTCAGAAGTTTCCTCTAAAGCTTTGAGAGGANACACCAGATACCTTCACCACCTTGAATCTTACACCGGGAATATCTCCGACGGCATGTCCCTTACGCCCAAATCCAGCAATCAAAACTTCATCCTGCAGCAAAAGGTAAGAAACACGATTTAAAACAGAAAAAAGCAATCACAAGCAATGGAGTTAATGAACAGGACTCACATTTTCTTCGATGTAATTTAAACAACCATCATTGGGGACAAAAGCAGCAATCTTCTTGCCATTCTTAATGAGTTGAACCCTAGCACATTTACGAATAGCAGAGTTGGGCTGTTTAGCTTCAATTCCTCTGTCCATGCCAAAAGGTAATAGAAGTAAAAAGATCAGTTTCATAGCTGAAGACATCAAGAAAGACTGATGAAAACAAATAAAACAAAGGTGAATTCTAACATCTTCTCAAGCACAATGCCTTTTGCATGCGATGACCCGGCGAATGGTTTCTTCCATTCATTCCCAAGATGGGATTTCTTATAGGCCTTGTCAGCCCACCTTTGTCTTCTGCGGTGGGACTTCAGCTTGCGACCAGCTCCCATACCACGTGTCTTCCTGTATGATCATGTCAAGTGTATCAACCCACATAAGACTGAAATAGGTACAACGCTGGTTACTTGAGGAGGCATGGAATTACTAATAACAGAATTAGAAAGGACGTAACCCCACATGGATCGCTAACTAAATTACCCTTAAAATTGTTTTGCATTCCCCTAGCTTTGAAGTTGTTGCAAGATTGGTTTCGTATATTTCCCAAGAAGGGAACAAGTAATCTAGTGATAAGCATTGCTAACTTTTGATGCCACAATTAGTGTTCTATAAATTTCAACAATGGCAGCAAATGGAGTTTATCAAGTGCCCACATAAATGAAATTTCAGCAACAATTCCAATTTCAACACACACATAAATGAAATTTATCAAGCACCCACATAAATTTCAGCAACAATTCCAACAGTTCATGGCAAGAACTTGTAATTTCAGTCATGTATTTGCAGCCAAACTCATGAAAAATAGTAAAATACACAACCAAGTTAATTATAAACCCCCACTAAAAAACGGGCAAAGCTACAAAAAGCTGAAACTGTAATTTTTCATGGCAAGAACCTGTAATTTCAGTCATGTAATTGCGGCCAAACTCATGAAAAATAGTAAAATACACGACCAAGTTAATTATAAACCCCCCACTAAAAAACGGGCAAAGCTGCAAAAGGCCGAAACTGTAATTTTTCATGGCAAGAACTGGAATTTCAGTCATGTAATTGCTTGCAGCCAAACTCATGAAAAATAGTAAAACACACAACAAAGTTAATTATAAACCCCACCACCAAAAAACGGAGCAAATCTGCAAAAAGCCGAAATCAAAAAGACAAAAATCCACTAATATAATTAATAATATTACCAGGAAAATGTGGGCCAAAGATGTGGTCTTACTGGAGGAATTGCCG